TATGCCTTCAGACTGGGAGAATAAAATCCACATACTGAAGCTAGCAAGTCAGATGGCAAAAGAGCTTGGGACATTAATAGCGTCTTGGAGCTGCTGCACTAGCCATAAACTGATTTTCCCAATTTCCTGTCATACCAGGACCCCTACTCCCATTAAACTGTGGTATCAGTTAAGAGTTGTGTTCACTCATAAATAACAGAATGCCTTACTTCTATGGGTTAAAAAAGTGAGGAGTTTTATTGTCTCATTCAACAGAAGTCAGGGAATTGGAAGTTAAGGCCTGGCAGAGTGGCTTTATTAAGTTGTCAGTGGTCCTTGCTCTCTGTATCTTCTTAGCTTTTCCCTACTTAATGTGTTGGTTTCCTCCTTACAGTCACGAGATGACTGCTGTACCTCTAGGCATCAGGTCTGCATTTCAGGCAAAAAGAAATATTATCTGAAGAGTTCACACTGTTTCATATGGCCTCTCCTGGCTGCATGGCGGGTGGGGAAGAAAGCAAGTAATTGGTTTTTCAATGTCTACAGTAGAGAAAAAAATCTAGGTTGGTCACTCTACTCAACATCCATTCCCAATCACCTTCTCACTTGCTTTCCTCTACTGTGTCTTTGGTTTTTTAACACTGCCTTGTGAAGTAATTACTGCCTCACCAATTAGACTAGAAACCATGTGGATCCCTGACAGTGCCCAGAACTATGGACACTAAACTATTTTGAAATAATGAGCAGCAACTGCGTGGGGTTCTTATTTTCTGAAGTTTTGCAGTCACCTTTGCTATCATTCTGTAACTGATAAAGCAAAGCAGGACCGGGTAAATGGCAAGAAAAACAGTGGCTGGATGGAGACTTGAAAGTTACAGTAGTAGGATAATGGATTCCATTTTTTAATTTGAAATTTTATTTTGATGAACAGACTCTTGGTTCTGGTGATGCTGTGCTAGATAATTCAGACCAGTTCTCCCACTGAACACAACTTATAAAGCTGAATGAAATATAAAAACATCTTCTTGAAAGCATCAAAGACCTAATAAGAGAGTAAGGAATCACTGGGGCCAAAATCGGAGAGTGATTCAGAATTTACAGGGGTTGGTTTAGCTCCTGGGGCCAATTTTTTTTCTAGGGGCATTTGTTAATCTTGAGGAGGTGGCTGAGAGACTGAGCTATGCCTTTAGTACTTTGTGGGGCTAGGGGCAAAAGTCAGAGTCCAAAGACCATCAAGGATTGGGACTTGATAGGCCCTCTGTTTTGACTTGGGATCCAGAAGGACTGCTCCATGTGAGTAAGGCTAAACCAGAAATAAACCAGCCTCCACAGAGACCACAGTTATCCTGGTCATCCTGGAAAATCTCAAACACTGAATTTGGATTAAGGTACTCCTGGAGATTTAGGTTCCCCTAGACACCTGGCAAAAGCAGCTGAAAATCCTCCCTGGAGAAAGATAATGCCATTTTAGGCCTCAAATTCCTGTAAGAAAACTTTTCAAAACAATGTCGGCACAGTAAAAATCTATTAAGATGGATGAGAAGCTAGGACTCCATAAGCAAGAATCAGTAGAAACAAAAGATCAGATTGGTTCCAAAGGGACTCAAAATTCTTCAGTTCTTGAATTTTCCTTTGATATGATCTCATTGTTTTGGTGTCATGAAATTTTATACAGAATATTACAACAATGAAAAAAATGATCTAGATAAAATAAAAAGCAAAAAAACAGAAAGAAATATACCAGGATTGTGTTGGTGGTATCCGAGAACAGTCAATGATGGTGTTTATCTTTTTCACTTATATTTTCCATATTATATTTTTGAGATAGAATCTTGCTTTGTCACCAAAGCTGGGGTGCAGTGGCATGATCACAGCTCACTGTTCCTCGACTTCTTGGGTTCAAGCAATCCTCCTGCCTCAGACTCCTGGGTAACTGAGACAGCAGGTGCACACCACCATGCCTGGCTAATTTTAATTTTTGTAGAGACAGGGTCTTGATATGTTGCCCAGGCTGGTCGGGAACTCCTGTCCTCAAGTGATCCACCCGCCTCAGCCTCCCAAACTGCTGAGATTACAGGTTTGAGCCATTGTGCCTGGCCTCCAAATTTTCTTTAATGACAATTTATACTGGAAGAAATACTTATGTAAAAGAGAAAGTAACATAGGAATTTGTAGGCATGTAACTTCTACAGTTGTCAAGGGTCTTGTGCTCAGAAGGGCCTCCTGTTTGGCTTAATGCTCTGCTGTTGCTGTCTTAAAATTATTAATTTTTAAACAAGAAGCTTGATATAGTTTGAATATTTGTCCCTGGCCAAATCTCATGTTGAAATGTAATCCCCAGTGTTGGAGGTGGGGCCTGGTGGGAGGTGTTTGGGTCATGGGGGTGGATCTTCGTGGCTTGGTGCTGTCCTCACAATAAAGAGAGTGTTCTTGCAAGATTTGGTTGTTTAGATGGCACTCCCCCACCTTGTTCTTGCTTTTACCATGTGACATGACTGCTCCTGCTTCACCTTCTACCATGAATAAAAGCACCCCTGAGGCCTCCCCAGAAGCCGAGCAGATGCTGGTGTCATGCTTGTACAGCTCGCAGAACTGTGAGCCAATTCAACCTCTTTTCTTTATAAATCATCCAGCCTCAGGTATTTTATTTTATTTATTTTTTTTTGAGACAGGGTCTGGCTCTGTTGCCCAGGCTGGAGTGGCATGAACACAGCTCACTGTGCCCTTGACCTCCTAGGCTCAAGCAATCTTCTCACTCAGCCCTCTAAGAAGCTGGGACTACAGGTATGTGCCACCCCACCCTGGCTAATTTTTGTATTTTTTGTAGAGGTGGGGTTTCTGCCATGTTGCCCACAGCTGGTCTCAAACACTTAAGCTCAAGTGATCTGCCCACCTTGGCTTCCCTGCTGAGATTAAGGTGTGAGCCATCATGCCTGGCCAGGTATTTACAGCAATGCAAGAATGGCCTAATACAAAGTTCCACATTTTCATTTTGCACTTGGCCCTCCAAAGTATGTAGCCAGTCCTGACCCAGAGGCAATAAAATGTTGATCGGTTGGCTGCTCTGGTCAACAGCCTCTAGACTTGCTCTAGTTTCTCTTCTTCCCACTGAAAGGCATCTAGTTTCTAAACTGGAGATGTGAGGCCAGGCACTGTGGTGCACACCTATAATTCTGGTGCTTTGGGAGACCAAAGCTGGAGGACTGCTTGAGGCTAGGAGTTTGAGACCAGCCTGGCCACATATTGAGACTTGTGTCTGCAAACAAAACAAAAATTATCTGGGTGTGGTGGTGCATGCCTGTAATCCTAGCTAGGAGTTTGAGGCTGCAGTGAGCTATGATAGCACCACTGTACTCCAGCCTGGGCAACAGAGCAAAGCTCTTATCTTAAAACAAACATACAAACAAACAAATAAATAAATTGAAGAGCTGGGTATGGTGGCTCATGCCTGTAATCCCAGCACTTCGGGAGGCTGAGGCAGGTGGATCATGAGGTCAAGAGATGGAGACTATCCTGGCCAACATGGTGAAACCCCGTCTCTACTAAAAATACAAAAATTAGCTGGGCATGGTAGTGCATACCTGTAGTCCCAGCTACTGGTGAGGCTGAGGCAGGAGAATCACTTGAACTCAGGAGGTGGAGGTTGCAGTGAGCTGAGATCGTGCCACTGCACTCCAGCCTGGTGACAGAGTAAGACTCCATCTCAAATAAATAAATAAACAAACAAACGAATAAAATTTAAAAATAAATTGAAGATGTGGCCAAACAGCTGCAGGAATGTTTAGGCATAGTAAAGAGCCCAGGATTAAGAGTCTGAAGACAGGATTCCAGTTCTGTCACTGGAAAGCTGTATTTCTGGCTTGCTGGAATTCCCTCCTTCCAGCTTTCAAGCCATCAGAATCACATCTGTGAACAGGAACGCTAATACACCAGAGTCAGAACCAAACAATAGTTATTTTTCTAGTTCCCAACCTGTACAAGGTACCGGGTAATCTAAGATTCACTGCAATCCATGAGGTGGGTCTATCCTTTCACCCAGATTTGCCAGTCATCTTTCAGGGTATTTCTCCTTGCTTTCTGGACTTAACCTGAAACCAAGGTTCTATCTGGAATGACTGGACCTCTTTCACTGGAGTGTCCGAATCTCTTGCAAAAGCAAGCATGGTGAACTTCCAAGATGCTGGGCCACTGGGACAAAGTGTGCAGTTAATAAACCCTGTACTTACAGGTGCCAGGTTGTGTGCTAGGTTTTTTTACTTATGTTCCCTTTTAATTCTTTGAAATGGCTTGACTCTACTCTTTTTTTCTGATAAGGAAACTAAGCTTTATAAAAAGAGGCTAGGTAACTTGCAGCTAGAAAACCGTCTACCTCCAAAGCATCTTCTTGACAATTCCACTAGACTTAACACCAATACCACTGAGCCCCTGTAACTGCCTCTTCAGCCCAGCATAGTCCACCACCAAGTCCATGTATCCCTAATCCCAAGGTCGGATGCCTGGGGAGGGTGGAGGATGCGACAGAAGGACGCTAATGGGGAATTTTGCAGGGTCTGGGAGCAGAGCAGTAAACGCAGCCTTAAGCACTCAGTATGCTACTGTTTGGTAAAATCCACCCAAGCAGCTTCGGGATCCAAGGCTTGTACTGTATCCCCAACCAACACTAGGCAACGCCCCAAGTCCCCACACTTCCCACTCCGATAGGCGAAACTGCAAGAACCGGGAGGGGCAGCTGCCACGTTTAGGTGCGAGGCACACACCATACCCTTCCGCAGCTTCCCACCTCCTCCAGACGCACGTGTTTAAAGAGTCCCTGCTCCAACCGGTCCCGCCCCACCTCCGCTCGGCCTCCAGCCCTGCCAGTACTGCTGGCTTCAAGTTTCCTCAGAGGCGGGCGCGCACAGCTGCAGTGGCCGCGTCAGCGGCCACCAAGCGCCCGGCGGCGCTTCGCCACCCACCTTTCTTCGGCACCCGGCCCTGCAGTCTCCGCCCGCCAGGGAGGGCGCTCTCAGCGGAGCAGGAGTTGAGGGCGGGGCGCCGAGAGAGGGAATCCCGGGTCGCGCCGATACAGTTCTCGCAGTGGCAGAGGCGGCGGCGGCATCATCACCATCAGCAGCAGCAGGTGGAGCGAGCTCCAGCGCCTGGCCTGAAACCCGCCGCTGCAGGCGTCCGGGCGGGAGCGGGCCGGCTAGGTGGAGCTAGTTCTCGCCCCCGTCTGACCCCCAGTTTCCGGGACACTTGGGTTGCCGAAGCCGGCTGGCAGGGGTCGCGGCTGGGGCCGGGAGCGCGTCGGAGCGCACGGCTGCGCTGGAAGCCGCGTCTGGGGCGCAGGACCAACTGGACCGACCTCCTCCTGGCTACCTGAAGACCCTTTCTCTCGGATAAGAGCGCTGCCGGCTCTGGGATTTGGGAGGAGGTCGGAGCCCGCCCGGGCATTTCGCTGGACGCTATACGTTTGCACCCCGGTGGCGCGGGAGGGTCCGGAGCGGAGCGCTTGTCTCTCATCTGCGGTTTAGTGGCGGAAAGCAGAGAGCTCTTCCCGGGGCGGACGGGACCTCCTCCCTCGGTCCTCCGTGGAGCCCTCGCATCGCTCGCCGTGTTGGTCTCGAGGGGCTCACGGCTTGGCATTAACTTGCAGGTGTTCTCTGCTGATTTGGTTTCTTCTTCGATTAGGGGACAGTTCCCGCCAACGACACTCGACACGTTTCCCTGCCTTAGCAGGAGAGCCGGGTCCGGAGTCGCTGGAGCCTGCGGAAATCCAGCGCCTGTTCGCTGACCCTCGAGTCGCTCCGCTAGCCGTGCGCCCTCCTGGGCACTAGCCTCGGGAGGAGCGTGCAGACGCGGCTACTTTGAGGGAGTGCGGTCCTCGAGGGAGGCATTGGGCTCCTAGGGGCTTCTTGGCGTGTGTGGTGGGTCTGGGGTCCGCCGGCCATGGCCTTCACTTTCGCTGCGTTCTGCTACATGCTCTCTCTGGTGCTGTGCGCTGCGCTCATCTTCTTCGCCATCTGGCACGTGAGTAACCCGTTTTGGTCTTTTCTTTCGTCCTAACGTCTCCAAATTTCCCCGATTTCACTCCACTTTCTCCACCTTGCTGGTGTGCGCGGACCGGGAGGTTGGACCTTCTGCCGCTCCTTTGTCCCGGAGCAGGAGGCAGTTTGCTGCATCCCGAGGCCGCGTGCCGCCGGGCGCGCCTTCGGTGTCCTGGCTGGAGGCGGGGGATCGCTGGTGCCGGGGTAGGGCACCCTCTCCAGGGCCCGACCGGGAGTCCTGGGCCCCGGGGAGTGGCGGCTGCAATCACATCTAACCCTTCCTCTTCCGCCCCCTCCTCTCTTGCCGGAGGGAGGCGAAGGAGAAGCGCCGCCGTCGGTCCCGGCGATTAGTTAAGTAGCTATTAACAGCTAAACATGTAAAATGTCAGCATCTGTGGTGGGTTGCATTTAGACATAATTGGAGACAAGTGGAAACACGACGGGAGCGCCTTGTAAAAAGCAGGGAGAGGCCGAGCCCGTGGAGAGGAGTGAGACCAGGTGATGCGAGTCGGAGTGGAAGGCGGCGGGGGCAAGGCGAGGAAGAGAAGCGCAAGGAGGCGAGAGAGCCTGGGGAAGGGCAGGCTTAGTGAAGGCCGTGGAGGAAAGTCACGAAAAGAGACCGTGGAGGAGACGATGGTGTCCTCTGCCCCCGTGGCGTTCGAACGTCGATTCCTAAAGACTCCCTGCAAGTGGCGAACCCCCGCTAGGCCTCCAGCGTCCCCAGCCCGCGCAAGCTTCCTGTCACCCTTCCTTGGACTACGCCAGGTGGAGGACAGCCGTGGATCCCAGTTTTTAGGTGTGAGTGAGAATAGAGGAGCGAAAACTTCTGAATAGGGGAAGAGAAGTACAGAGAGAGCGAGTGCAGGACTGAGTACCCCGGTCCTCTCAAAGACTGCAACATTTAGCGAGCGCACGCAACTCTCAAGGCTTCCTTCTCTGAGGTTGTTTAAGCGCCCTATCCTCACCCTCAGAGGGCTGGTGGGAAGAATGGCCAAGGCCAAATGTTTTAGAAGGAGCACCCCAGTGCATAATTTCCCACCTTTATCAGCCTTGCCCTGCCCAGCGTCTAGGTGACAGAGAAGGACCCGGAGATGAATTCCTGGAGGCATGGTTCTGGGGAGCATCAGAGACTCCCTTACAGTGGGGATGACCCAAAATGAAGCCTTGAAGAAAATTGCAGGGTGGGCGAGATGCCGGTGTTTTGTGTAAGTGGTTTGCAGAGTGAAAGTTTGTCTTAAAATAGAACTAAGCAGCTAGAGCAGCTCCTGCTACAGGGCTCTGACAGGGAGGAGAGGGGAAGCTCTGGGAGGAAGGCGGCTTCCGACCATGTAACCTTAGAAAGACCCTTGTTGGCTTCCTTCCACACCTCTAAAGTGAGAAAATTGACCTGGATGATCGCTAAGCTTTCCCCCATTTCTCAGATCGTGTAAATCCGTCAATCAGTAGACTTAGGAATCCGGGCTGACAGGGAATTCAAACACAGGTATTTGGGGGACGATAAAACAAATCCCGCTGTTTAGAAGTAATGGGATTTTAAACCCTCCCTTCTCTGCTCTGCAAGCCTGGGTCTAATCTATGGTAGCAAACTGAGACTTGAAGTTGTTGACAGTTCTTAAGGGAGAAGGAAACTTACTAATTTAGAATAGAAAGGAGTACAGATCAGATCATGCCTGAGCAGTGCAGCAAACCTCTGCTAATGTGCTTTAAAGGAACTTTCTCAGCTTCTTTGGATTTGGGGAGTTACTTGCATTCTAGAAGGCTAACTACTTACTCTCTTTTTTTTCTGCAATATTTCATATGCTGTTTTTCTCTTTTTCCCTTGGCCAGCGGGTGTCAGGTACTGGACAGCTCCCTCAAACTCCATCAGGACTGGAGTTCTCTGAACTGGTCCCTGAAGCAGAGCAAGTAACCACAAAGAATAATTTTCTCTCATTCAGGGGAAGATGATTAATAATTCAAGAATAGCTTAATTGAGTGGTTTGCGCAGCTGGTTGATATTTGAATGAAAATCAGGTGTTTCCTGATCCAGCATTGGCCTCTGCCCTCCAACTTCTCAATGCTCACCCTCTTATCTAGGGGTAATTGAAATGCATTCAAATCCCAACTCAGGTTCTATCCAGATTCCTCATAGAAGTGGCAAGATTCTCATTTCTTTCTTTTCTTTTCTTTTCTTTTTTTTTTTTAAGACAGGGTTTCACCCTGTTGGTCAGGCTGGTCTTGAACTCCTGACTTCAGGTGATCCGCCCGCCTTGGCCCCCAAAGTGCTTGGATTACAGGCATGAGCCACTACGCCCGGCCAAGATTCTCATTTCTAATAATGAAAAGAATTTGTGCATTTTGAATTTAAATTACAGTAACAATATCATCGTCTCAGTCCCTCCTTTCCTAGTCTTTTCCCTCTCTATCCTTTTCCCTCCAAATCAAACAACCCAAACCCAATCACACTGATTTGGTTCCTGAACACTGAACTGGGAAACCAGAGACACATTGATTTCAGGGCACAGTTTGTGTGTCTGGGTTAGTTGCATGGTAGTAATTATTTTGACCAAAATTGGGGAGACTTGGATTTATGTTAGACTGTTTGCCTTCTTTTCAGCTTCATACTTCTTATGTCCTTCTTGATTGGACAAGGGATATTGATTGTGTGGTATATATCAATACCCCAAATAATGAATTGGGCACTTAACATATAGCAGTTAAAATGCCTGCCATGTTGCCATGCCTAGGCTGTAAGATATGAAGATAGCATGCTTGCTTTTCTTATGCAATTGTATGTAACTACTTAGGGGTAATGATGGTAGCTACTCTGTATTGGGTGTCTGCTGTAGGATACGTTTTAAGTCCTTTACAGAGAATCTCTCAGTCTATTTGTTTTCCTCCCCCTCTTCCCACTGGATGTCTGGGAGCAAGGATGGACGTGGCCAGCCTTTCTTTCAAGTCTTGTTTTTTACTTTAAAAATGTATCTGCATTTGTTTTCAGATGAAAATATTTCAAGTTACCAATTTATTTCATATCAGCTACTGTCTCTGAGTATGTTTATCACATTTGGAGGAGGCAGAAGAAAACAGAGGTTTTTTTTCCTGTGGCTTTGCATACCCTCAGCATGTGGCCTCTTACTGCCCAGGCAGCCCTTTAGTCCTCACAACTGACAATTTCCCAGATTAAAAAACTGGGTCCGAGAGGTTACAAGGTTGCCTAAGTTTGCACAGTTTGTATGTATTGGAGCTGGTATGCATGGACTTGAGCTAGGTTTGTGAGGCTCTTAAGCCTAAGCCCTTTCTCTAAATGTAGTCACTATTTTTGGATACATAACTTAGATAATTTCTATCCAAAGGATTACCTTTCTCTATATAAATGAATTTTAGCGTTGGAATTTCTGATTGGAGTTATAACCGCAACAGCAACCAGACTCAAGACATGCCATATATCATTTTTTAAAAGAAGAAAATTCTATTTTAAAAAATTAGACTTGATAAAATGATAGTTTCCTTGTTCAAAATTTTGAAAATACAATGATTTGTAATTAAATAAAATCATCACTAATCTTGTCCATAAAAGATTATTTCTTGTGTATTTTTAAAAACTGCATATGGCTGGGCTCAGTGGCTAACACCTGTAATCCCAGCATTTTGGGAGGTCGAGGCAGGAGGATCACTTGAGCCCAGGAGTTTGAGACCAGCCTGGGCAACACAGTGAGACCCCATTTCTAAGAAAAAAATTGCATATGAATGTTTAGAAGGAAAAAAGTGTTCTAAAGGGTTTTTGATGTGAAGTGGTGTATATTCCCAGCCAGTATAAAATGAACGGTGTTTATTCACAAGAACCTTCTCAGCTCTGGCTTGGTTAAGCCTGTTTGCAGCATGTCTCATTTATATGAACACAGATGAAGCCATTCTTTGAAAAGATCAAAGATTTGTTACTGGATTTCAGGTTTTTAGCTTTTGAAGTGTTTATATTTGGAGTCACTGTGAGTTTTGACAATTTACAGATAAAATTATTTCCCAATAAAATTCTCTAGAAAGAGCTGATGCACCATCACACCTTGAAATTTCTTTGGATTCACAGCAGCATTTGCTGTTTGAGGGTTTAAATGGCCCCAGATGGGAATGGCATACATAATGTAGTGAGAGGCAGTTTTGCTAGGGAAGATGTCCTCATGGTAGAGCTTTTTAGCCAGTTCTACCCTGTCACAGATTCCGCCTCTGGAAATCTAGTAAACATCTCAGTTTCTCAGAGTACCCATCCCGAAACAAAATGGGTTTATGTGTAATGGTAGGATGCCTGGGGTTGACAATAAATAGCCTGCTTTTTAATGACCCTACTCTGGCCTACTCAGATGAGGGCACTTCACTTGTTGCCAGGTCTTACCTGGTCTCCACCTTTTATTCTGCTTGTGATGCCCCTGTCCATTCTGGCATCTCATTTTCAGATGGGATGTCGCAGCTCCAGCCTGCCCCATCCCCCTCTTATCTCCTTCCTCTGTCACTGTCCATTGCCCCACAGCTGGAGTGGAATGAAGCTCCATGAGAGCAGGGACGTTTTCTACTTTACCATCATTTCTCCAGAGCCCAGAACAGTGCCTGACATGTTCGGTGTAAATACTCCTAGGGCAAATTCTTGTTTTCTTCTGGCTTGATGCAGTTCCAGTTGACATAGTGATATGGTTTGGCTGAGTCCACACCCATATCTTGTCTTGAATTGTAGCTCCTATAATCTCCATGTGTTGTGGGGAGGATCTGGTGGGAGGTAATTGAATCATGGGGGGTGGGTTTTTTTCTGTGCTGTTCTCATGACAATGAATAAGTCTCATGAGATCTGATGGTTTTATAAAGGGCAGTTCTCTTGCACACACTCTCTTGCCTGCCACCATGTAAGACATGCCTTTGCTCCTCCTTCGCCTTCTGCCATAATTGTGAGGCCTCCTCACAGCCATGCTAAACTGTGAGTCCATTACATCTCTTTTCTTTGTAAATTACCCAGCC